AAGTGAGGTGGCTTACCTGCCATCTCCAATGTGTTTTTTTTGCTTCACTCTCTTCTATTTGCTTCATCCCTCTGATTTCCTGTCCAGAACAATTAGTGTACAAAGTATATGTATTCGTAATACATTCTCGTATTTGACTTATTAATTTCCGTTATTCACCAACGCCGATTAAGTCATTTATTGCATACGAGGGTAGACAGGATGTATATTTTGACAACAATCATTCATACGATCTCATTGGAGCCAGATCTTGGCCCCCACAATAAACTCCTCAGGCACATACTTTCAATAGACAGTCCCAGAGAACAGTCCTGTCCAAGGAGTCGAAGGCGTCCCTAATGTCGAGAAACACTACAATTGTTGGTCTGTAATAAGAATGATGGTGTTCTAATATTTGGTTGGTAAATACTAACTCATTCCACTGACCATGGGAGGCAGGACATTCTGATCGGTGTCGCCGCGGCTCCTCAAAATGCTCTGCCCATCATCTTAGACGTATATAGATGTTAGTGATTGGCATTTAGTCATCTTCACAGATTGTTTCACTCACACCGGACCTCTTGTTGTCGGTGACTCGGATGAATTAATAGAGCTTCCGGAAGTTACCAGATGCAGCTGATGCTTCCAACTAGTTAGCACGTTCCGACTACTAGGCTTCCTCATCCTTACGCAAGCTTTGGACAATTTCATTGCGTAACAATCTTCGTTTATGGTCAGACTCGAGGTCATCCGAAGTAAGTTGACGTGCCACAATGAGTTGTAAGGAGCCTGTATAGACCCAGCAATTATAAGCGGGGCGTCTCGTAAAGCTGAAAGCAACTTTACTAGCCATTTCAATGGAGTCCTGTAAACGCAGTCAATGCTGATGTATACTTTTTGGCGGGTTGATAGCTAGCCTTGAACCTAGTGTAGTGTCAGTTGCTATTCAAACCCACATAGTTTATTCTAGCTTCCGGACATGTCAATTTATTCGTTCTTCTTGAGGCCCTTTTTGACCTCGTTGAGTATTCGCTTGTCAACCTTGACTGTTTCTGTATGGGCATATGTGTGTGCACTTCTTATCCTATTCACCACATGCCTGTAACTTATTTTTATTTGACTATAAATATTGGTTCGCACTTGGTTAAATTGAGTTAGCTTACCAACCAACGGTTGTACGAAATATACGTATTCGAAAATTCATTCTCGTATTTGACTTATTTAATTCCGTTATTCACCGACACGACTTAAGTCGCTGAATATGTACAAGAATTGACGACATATATACTTCAATAACAATTAGAAATGATCTATCAGAAGTCAGATTTTCGGTCACTAAACTAGCTCGGTTCTGATATTTGGTTGCAAAAGAAGTTTACTGAAATTGGTCTGTTTATGTCAATGAATTTGTTGGCTAATGAAACGTAAGGTAAGATTGGCGCAGACAAGGGAATGATCAGAGTCCAGATGAGGACTCCAGAAGGAGAGGCAGTCTTGTTCTTAACGACACCAACGGTAGCTGATTGTGATGAGATCAATCTGGGTCCAAGTTTGAAATGCAGAGGGAGGACTCCAGGCAGCACGTCAGCGATGACTGTGCCGATGGATAGTGCTAACCAGAAACAGGTTATAGTCTTTACAGAATCGTAGTAGACTGTCAGCGTTATCTGACCTATCACTAATAAGTCCCTATTAGCAACCCAAACAACTCTCTGATGTGCTTAGACACTTGACTTGTGCATTCAAGTCTCCGGCTAGTACTATATTACCTGTTGAACAGCTAACAGATGGAGAAACTCATCCCTTATCACAGCCAGACTGAGATCTATCGGATAGTAGGCAGAGATGACAAAAATACATCGTTCTTGACAGCGATTTCTTCGCACTTTGATGGAGCTTTCTAATCTAACAGCACATAACCGATTGTTAATGGAAATCCAGTCTATCAGTGCTGCCTCAGCTCCAGCTCTCAGTGCGACACCAACGCCAACTAAGTAAGGCAAAGATGCCACAGGGTCTCCGGTTAAAATCACGTGAAACAAGCTTTTCGAAGCGACAGATGGATATCTAATTTGTAGTACTTCACTAGAGTCTTGAATACGGGTCTCAGATAGACAACAGACACTGATATTAAGACTTTCTACAGACATAACCAACTCTATCTGTTGTCCGATCTGCATTAGTGCGCGAACGTTGAAGGAGTCCAGTTTGAATGGTGTACGTGTTTTCAGAAAGACTTTCAATATTCGTTGTCGGTGGTAGCATTCAACTTCCAAGCAGTCAGTGACTTGAGATCGTTTAGATAGGACAGGATTTCTACCATAGGCGAGTTGCTGTATGTGTTGAGAAATAAACTACCCTGAATGAGAATAAAAGAGAGTGCATAAATGTCGTAGTATCAAAGTAATAAAAACGAATGTTATCAAATAGTTGTGAATATAACTTGTCTGAATGAGACTTGAAGCAAGAGTAATTTTTCCAGTAGTAATTATCATTGATTTGTATGTGGGCTACCCGGGTGCACAGGCTAAAGCAGGTAGTCTTCTTAGGGGGTCACCACCCGAGCCTTTGACTTAGAGGCCTAGCCCAAAAAGCAGTGGAGCAACGTTGGAAGATGTAGTCCATGATAGTCGGGGACTAACTATGGGTTCTTACTCATTTTGTCTCTTAAGGATCCTCGAGTCCATATACATCATTGGTTTGGAATCAGAGTTTTCCGACTTCCCTAGACGGATCCTCGATATCCACTAGCAAGGTTAAAGTGCCGCACATTCGCTTTCCGTCCTCTCGACTTCGCAAACGGTACCTCTAGTGCGAGAAGGCAGCGAGTAGGACTTCCCTGACAGTAGCTGTTTACGCGAGAACATGTAAAAATATTTCGAGAGGGAGAGCGAACTCTGTTCACCCTTTGCCATACCAGGACATTTACATAACTATCACTCCATCAATTGAAATATTTTCTATATAAGTACATGAAGTAGAGCCAGTGAAATGTCCTGGAAAAATTTATCATCAGTTGTTTCGAGAGCCATAAAGATTACTCCTGCACTACTTTTACGACGAAATGAAATGTTATATTAGCATTTTCGCCACCTATAGCCACCATCCAGCAGTGAAAGCATTGATTCTAGGTAGTTTTAGTCATTTACTACGTAATTAATCTAAAACTGTATGCTATGTAGCAATCACGAAAACCATCTTTGTTTAGAATAGAAAATGAATGCCATCTAATTACTCATGTATTTCATGTCCGATTCTGTACCAAAGAAGTGCATTAACCTTATAAAGGCTCCCTACGCGAACACAACTGGTCGAGTTGGAGCTTATGGCGAACTGTTATCAGAACTGATTACCTCAAGTGGTGTTCGTCATGGCTGTCCACTCTCGCCATTCTTATTTAAGTTTATCGTAGACGTGCTTTCAGAAATAACACTTTCCTCATCCAAATTTAGAGGGGTTGAACTTCTACTAGGAGACCCACTTGTTGACTTAGAATATGCCGATGACATAGTTCTGTTTGGTGAAGACGCTGACAAAATGCGGAGTCTTCTGACCACTATAAGTAACTATGCAGGCATGTTCAGGATGAGATTCTCCCCCACGAAATGCGAAATGTTACTTCAGGATTGGGTTGCATTGGCACCTGAACTAATGATAGGGATTGAACTAGTTGAGCGTGTTGACCGCTTCACTTATCTTGGGAGTTTCATCAGCCCCTGTGGTATGGTGTTTCACGAAATCTCAGCACGGATACAGAAGGCTCGTCTAGCTTTCGCCAACTTGCGTCATTTATGGCGTAGGCGAGATGTCTGTCTAGCGACAAAAGGACGGGTTTACTGTGCAGCAGTTCGTTCCGTCCTAATTTATGGCAGTGAAACATGGCCGATAAGAGTAGAGGATATTAGTAGGCTACTAGTGTTGGATCATAGGTGTCTTCGAAGCATTGCTCGTATATCCTGGGACCACCGGGTAAGTAATGTAGATGTTAGGAAACGGGTACTAGATAAGGATGGCAAATAAATTGATGAAGTAGTGAAACTTCATCAGTTGAGATGGCTGGGGCACGTGTTACGTATGCCCAACCACCGACTGCCCCGACGTGCCATGTTTTATGGTGTAGGATTAGGTTGGAAGAAAGCTAGGGTGGCGGCCAGACCAAAACGTGGCCCAAATCCATGAAGTAACTCACAAGTGGACTGAGCCATGTAGGTAGGTGTAGACTACCTGGTTGGGATTCGCGAGTTGATAGCAACCGATGGTTAGAGACCTTGAATGACATGGCTCAAAATCGTTTGCAACGGCGCAGGTGCATCCAATCTTTGTGTTATCCCAAATTCTAATCTTCTGAATTCCTCATGTTCCTTTCTTTTTCCAAATTTATTTCACTGGATTAAGCTTCTTCAAAAATATCTTTAAACCCTAATCCTTCGGATTACTGCTTATACTCCTACTACTTCTACTACTATGTAATTCGAATCGACAACTGCATCTCTGTGTTGATGTGGTATGATAACTCGAACCGATGTACGTACGTACGAAGTTCTACGTTGCGACTGACTGGCTGATCAACTATGTTAAGTCATAAATAAGACTTTGATGGACAATAATAGTTCCTAAATTTCATGTTTGTTACATTTCTGAATAATGGTACAACATCTGTCCTTCACTGGCTATTTTCTGTACTTTTCAAATCTCCAAGTCCACAAAACATTTATTGCCATACAAACAAATAATGAAGTGGCTTTTTTTATTACATTCTTACTTTTTAAGTTTAGAAATATTCTGAACTAATAAAATTGACCAATGTTTATTAAACTGTTATTTTCAGTTAACCTGGATTTCATATACGTTTAGAAATAACATATTTACATTAATTTGTATTTTGTTCTTTTGTAGGATCTATTTCTCATACAGCATTACACGTTCACTTTACGTGTAGTCAAAGAACGCAACAAAGAAATATGTGGTATAAATAGATTGAAATGTCATCAACAAAGTCTTAGTAGGAAGAATTTCAAAACATGTGGTTATTTGAGATTATTTCAAAAATGTTCGGTTTTTTAAAGAAAGAAGTTAAAGTCTTAGTGATCGGACTGGATAACAGTGGGAAGTCAACGATATTAAACAAGTTGCAATCAAAGGAAACTCAGAATTCATTAATAGTCCCAACTATAGGATATAATGTCGAAAAGATTAGAGTCAGTCAGATGATGTTCCTTTGTTTTGATATGTCAGGTAGTGGAACTTACAGAAATTTATGGGAAAAGTTCTATAAGGAATGCGAGGCAATCATTTATGTAGTAGATAGTTCCGATGAACTGAGACTTACTGTTGTTGAAGACGAATTTCAACAACTTTTGAAGCATCCAGATATTTGCAATAGGCGAATTCCAATCCTCCTTTTTGCTAACAAAATGGATTTATCGAATTCTATTACAGTCATAGAAATAGTCAAGATTCTTGGTCTGGAAAAAGTGAGAAATAAATCATGGAGGATTTTCGCTTCGAATGCCATAAACGGTGAAGGATTAAATGAAGGTTTGATGTGGTTATTTGGACAATTGAAACAAAGTACTAACTAAAATGTGATAAAGATTCTGATAGAGAACAGATATAGGTGACCCATTAGGACGTGTCATTTGCTTTGCTGAAGAAATAGAAGACTGTTGGAATTTGTGTCGAAACGCTAGAAATTTACGTTCAAAATGTAACAAAATCCAGAACAAATCTAAAGATAGGAAACCAGATTTTTATGCTTTTAATCATTAATACTTTTATGCTATCTTACCGCATTTATTTCAAACGTTAAAGTTTATAGAGATGACTAAAATTTACTGGATAAAAGGGTTTTAAAACTTTATCTTCTATGGCTATCATTCAGTTTTTATGATTACAAAAGAGCCCTTTTTTGATTCAAATAATTTTTGATTCTTATTTTCCGAAACCGAATGCAGCACGACTTTATGCATAGCGTTTTGGTATATTAAATACTTTCATTAGGAGTATTTTTAATCAATCAGTTCTTCATAATGATTTCAAACTGTTATCTAAGTTTTCCAAACAAAAATAAAATTAATACCAATTAAATCGTATTGGATCAATTAAGTCATGTATTCCACTTTATTTTTTCTCTCCAAATTTCGTGATCAGTTTGCTGCTCAGTGGATATGAGAATAAAACTAAAACAACGTCACATAATTGTAGTTAGTGTTGTAGAAAAAATATTAAGAATCAAGAAAGTTTGAAACTAGACCACTCAATATAAATGTTAAGTTTTATATAGTTGAGATCATGAGTCAATTGAATCTAGACCACCATGGAAAATCTGGAAGCACTGGACGGCCGTTTCGTCCTATTATGAGACTCAGCAGTGCGCATCCATGATCCCGCCTCACGAGATTCGAACTCAGTACCTACCAGTCTTGCGCCACAGCACTTAACCGATAGACCACTGAGCCGGCATCTAACGGTGTTGATGTCTAACCACAACCAATCCACGAAATTGCGCACCCAATTCCCATTGTACTGAGGTAGATACCTGTTTCTATATGACATGGATTAGCTCCAATGGTCACGACTTCTCACTAGAACTCCAGGAATTACCTCATGGAGCCAGTCACTAGTGAGCATATGATCATTATCAGAAGGGGGTTTTGTGGAAACTTTTAGTAATTTTATATAGTTGAGATCATGAGTCAATTGAAGCTAGACTACCATGGAAAATCTGGAAGCACGGTTTCGTTTAAGTATGGGACTCCTTAGAAGTGTACATCCACGATCCTGCCTCATGATCTCAACTATATAAAATTACTAGAAATCTCCACAAAACCCCCTTCTGATAAATGTTAAGTGTTGTTCGTCAAACAAGTATTATGTAATTAACAAAACGGGTGCAACAAACATTAGTTAATTGGATTATCAGGATATAAATTAGATAGACTTGGTTGATTGATGTTCATTCATTCTTATGGCTTCTGTTATTTGTAAAGATAATAGAAGCATAAGGCAAGTTCAACTGAATTTTATCTATAACTAACTATAGAAACTAGACATATGTTGGTATGCTAGTTGATATCGACTAAATGTGAGAGAATAGAACTTTTTATTTCTTTCTTTTCTCCTCTAATCAATCAAGCGATTGATATTCTGAAATACGGTAATGTATTTGTCTGGTTTTATTCTTCTTTTATCATTATATTTTTATTTCATGTTTTCAGTAATATTTAAGCAACATATCGTTCGATGAACTTATTATTATCATATAAATATTACTCAATAGAAATAATTTTATAGTTATTCAGGAAACTGTTCCCTTTTTACTTAGTGGTCATTCCACATTCAGTGCCTGACAAGACATTTTACCAACGTGAAGTGTTCATTATGGCATTCTGAGTTTACATCGTTAAACTGAAAGGCAAATGTCTGTTTACCGATTGAGGAGCGAGTATATCACACAGTTGTCTGTTCCAAATATTGGGACAAAAGTAAAATGTGTATAAAGTATTCATGAATTGAATTGTAGGTGTATTTGGCAAATTGTTAGTGAATAAGCAAGTTGTATTGGTATCTCTAACTTAAAATGAATCGTTTAATATGTGTAGCTTACTTTACCAGTGGAATAAATAAAGAGCTCCGCTTAACTGTTAGGTGAAAAAAGTTATTAGACAGATGTTTACTATCCAATAACTAGCATTTGACCACAGATGTCTTTGAAATATTGCTCACATCTGCTGAGATAACCGGGTAAGTAATAATGAGGTTAGATGCAGGGTATTAGGGAATGATGGTAAATAAGTTGATGATGTTGTGAATATTCATCAACTGAGATGGTTGGGTCACTATTACGCATGCCCAACCACCGATTACCACGACGCGCAGTCCTGACTAGTATTGGGGATGGTTGGGAGAAGGTTAGATGCGGCAAAACCAAAACATGGAATCGGTACTTGAAGTCACTAACTTCTAGTCTGAGCCATGTTGATAGATTCATACTACTTGGTTGGGGTCCGCGTGACTATTGTAACCAATGGTTGGAGACTCTATGTGACATGTCTCAGAATAGATCACAATAGTGTAGGTGTATACACTCCCTGTCTTCTCTTAAACTATGAGATTAAAATTGCTTCATATCTTTCTTTTATATATTACCACCATTAAATTAACTGCTTCTATGAATTCGATGTCCATCTTGTTGTGCTAATGAGGTATGGCAACTTGGACCGATGCATATATATGCCTGGTTCTACGTTGTAGATGACTGGTTGACTGATTCAATAACTTTGTGTTATGCAGCAGAAGTGGTAAAATAAAAGGTGTTCATAATTACAGTATTTCAGCATAGATATTTTTGAAGTACTGTCGGCTTATAATGGAACTATTGATAAGTAGTATTAGTGCAAAATACTGGATATCTTAACCAGGTTTACCAACCATTTTAAAGTCAGGCTAAAATGAGCAAATAGTGGTGCAAACTAATGTAGCATATGACGTTGTCGGCTGTTAATATGAGAAGTTTGTGTAATTGAGATCTTTCTCAATTTTTGTTCCCTCCTAAATTCCAATGATTTGAGTATTCCACATGGTTTGATTTCTCTTAGTTACGATCTAGTTGCTCTTATTGCTTAATACTACTTTACCAAACAAGTCCCTAAATCAGAACAGGGTTGAACAGGAACCTAATTATATTCCAAATAACAAGGGTGGATGGAAGTAGGAATCAGAATAAGGAAAACGTTAATATATTTATAGTTTTTTACATAAGAAGATACAAGAGTCTTCGCCAAGTATCCGGTAGCGCTGATTGGCTGAGAAATAGTCATGCTTTAATCTAATATATATTTCGCTAACACCACATTTGTTAGTGTTCCCATAAACAGGGTACATTATATGTAGTTAGCATCCGCTTTAAAAATGTATTTGATAGAGTGTTGCTTCTATAAGGATTAGTAGAAAACCGTTATGAATTTGGTTCTTGAGCCCTTATTTGATTGAAGTTACAGAAGAAATCTACATGACAATTTCAAAATAAATGTTTTAAGTTGTAGAGGGAAAAAACAATAAGGGGAAATATCAAGAAAACGTTTCCTGATAAAGCATTCATTTAATAAAGATGTCGCAAAAACTGAAGTGATGACATTTAACAGTCTATAGTAAATAAGTTTCACAGGCATCAGAATTAGTGTGATGAGTATCAAATACCGTGAGTTAAAATGTATTCAACAGGTGGAAGTCGGTGGAAAGATTTTACACTCAAAGTTAGGCAGCAACTTGATGTCAAGTGTTGAAGTTTATGGATAACCAGCGTGTAGGACCTATAGTTTCTTTTAAGTATTGAAAAAAGCAGTGATTATCACACTGGTATTATAAAATGACAAATATCAGCAGGTATATTGAAAAAGAAAGGTAGTTACTTTCTCTAAAAGGTGGATTTCTAAAGGCACATTACCTAGTCCATAGAGTCCTGATAAGTTATTCAAATAAGGGGTTATGGTTCTTTGAATCGCCTGAACATTTTAAATTATTGATAACCACTAGTTTGTTAATTATAAACTGATTAGTGAACAGATCTCTCTGGGATGAGATATACACGAATTTTATCTAGTTAATATGGAGTATGTTGTATCACTTTAGCGATTTCATCTTGTTTGAGATTACCAACAGTACGACAGTAAATCTAGGATTAGGTAGAAAAACACTTTGTTTTAAATTTTTGCAGCGATAAAATAATTTTACACATTATACATTATAACACCTTTATTTCTGTACTGTCATTGTTATTTTAAATATATTCAAGGCTAATATTTATTATAACTCATAGAAGTAACCTTTGGATCGGATAGCTAAGTAGATTGTATATAACGAAATAGTTGGCATTAAAGCTGAAGTTTTATATTATAGAGACGCAAGAACAGCAACTCTATAAGTCAGTAGTAAAAATTATACAACAATGAATATTCGAAAGAAATAATGACATTGATAATAATAGTAACAATTACAATGATATTGACGATTATTAAGAATAAATGTTCTCTTGGAGAAAGATATAAATAAAATGCGGTACTATTGTTCCCAACATTTTTGTTATAAATTTAAGTGACCAAAAAAACAAAACAAAATTCAAAGCAATAAAAGTAATTACAACCTAAAGTAGCACAATTCTTAAAAAATCAAATTAGCCAATCAAGTACAATATCCATAATTCAATAAATGAGAAAGCGGACGAAAAAAAAGTCAAGTTATTTAATAGTGTTTAATATACATAAGGTTTCCAAAGCTTGTGCGTGTTAAAGATTCTCTCTCAAATATTTTTTTGCCTAGTTATTGAAAGTGAACACGTTTAATTTGTGTTTAAAATAGGCTTAAAAACAACATAAGATTACTGGACTATATTAGTGAGTTGAATAATATAAATATTGCGTAATTAGACAGTCATTAACTAGAAGACATTATATTCGGTTCGGGAAGAAAGACGGACAAAATTTGAATTACGAACCTACCAAATGGAAAGAAATCAACGAAGAGTTGAAAAATAAACATGTGTGTTTTGTTCATAAATCGTAAAAACAGCACTGGTATAAATAAACAATTACTAAATGCTAGTTAAACGGTAGTTGCATAACCAGGAGAATTTGTGTTAAACATCGGTAACATTTTTAATTTATCCATCATAGTACTAATACGAAAGACTCTATATGTGTACTACTGTAAATAAATGTAGGACAAGTTGACAGTTACATTGAAATGTTAAATAGGTATAAATACAAAGAAAATGAAATTTAATGAAAATGGACAACAAAGTCATAAAATAAAAGGAACATGGAAAAAGAAATTGTAAAAGTAATGGGGGAGAGGATCGTAATACAAAATGATAATCACCAATATCTGTTAGAAAAAAAAATTAACAAAGAGATGTATAAATAAATCACTAAGTAAATAGAATGTATATAAGTTATAAGTTGTTTGATTTATTTAGTGTGAAAATGCAATACGACTGATTGGGAAGCGCAACAACACCGGAGCTGTACCACGTACTGGTAGCAAAGTTCGTGAATAACGATAAATCATAGATGAAACACTTGGATATGGTTGACTATATTCGCCTAGAACATAACCTCCGGTTTCAGGATCCTGTGAAATTTTCATATGGAGTACATCACTTTCTCGTCTGCAAAAAAAACCCACGTAAAATATATTAGAAAAGTCAGTTTCTGGAAAGAGAATAGTTTATTAGTAGATGCGAAGAATTTACCCAACAAATTAATTACACTTTAAAAGAAATCTATGTAACTTTTACAGCATGTTGTATCTATAAGTAGTCATTTAAAAGTTAAAGAGTGATCAGGGTGAGGTGTATCGTTTCTCCTTCAGGATATTTTTCACCCTTTGTACACTGATGTTCATTTATCCATTCTTGACAGTCAGTCGTACTCAATAAATCAAGGTAAATTCCTTGAGGTCAAACAGAAAGTGGTAATAATCCTCAAATTATAAATACGATTTCATGTAGACCACTATCCGTTCCTGATTACGTATCTCAGTAAATTCGTAGATCAAAATTACTCCAGACTTTATTATTACTAAAATGGTGGAGACTTGTAGCTAGAGGGTATGATTTTGTTGAAACTTCTTTTTCTGATCTTGGTGTTTTGATTCCATAACCTTCTTTATCTCTCTAAACAAAATCATTGGTAAAAATTCAGACAAAAGCGAGTCATAAGAATTCCTCTTTAAATAACTAGTAGTTCGTTCTGTTGACCATGAAGCTAATTAATCTTTATTAATATTTGTCCTATTATCATTATTTTATAATAATTACATCGAAAGTGTAATGAGATGATGAGGAAGATTTGTAGCTTAGGTGGTGGAGTTGTGCTCTTTGACCTGGATGGTTTGATCGTGTAGCTTTCATCGTTCTTCTGAACGACATAATCGGCACAAACTTCACCAAAATTGTAATGAAACATTTAAGTGGAAATGTTCCACAATACAGAAGATTTGAATTAATAGTCAAATGGAATAGAAGTAAACTAAATGGTTAATTGTTAAAAATAAATCATAACATAATTAAACAACAAAATTTACTTTATTGATAATGATAATTCTGTTTTACTTGTCTCACTTCTTCTTACAAGAAAACTACCTGTCGGTGTAGATTTCAATAATTTTTCTGCATGTGAACGTGAAAGATCACGGTGAAACCATCTAGTAAGAAGAAGAAAAAAACTCCAAAATATATTGAGCACATTAATTTTAGTCCAACTCTTGAAATAACATTATACTACTTAAAAGTAGTGTACATTTTCCTAAAGCAATGACAATTAAGCAAAGCAAATTTTCTTCATGATGATGTCATTTATTATTGCTGTACAACTGTATGTTTGTTTATTTGTTTAGTACATATAAATCTATAGTAAGATAATCAAAGATTGTGTCATTTAAAAAATATTGATTGGATCTATTTCTAAATATCAAGGAAATTGTATGGTAGACTAAAGGTTAATGCGAAAAATATAATAATAGATAGATAATAGATGAAAGATAATTATTCACTTAGAAAGTAATAAAAGTTTTTGTTATTATTTAAGACCAAAGTAAAACAGTAGCTTGTAGTTTTTGGAACATAAAGATCATGTATTGAAATGCCAACGTTTCTACCTTATATATTTGATCCGTATAACTTTGAAGCTGGGTTGTTTTAACTTGAAGATAACTTTCAAAGCTGTTAATCAAGGGCCTATATTACTAGAGTTGGCTGAGTGTTCAAGAAATGAACTATTGATCGTCTTGTGCTAATCTTTTGATAACCATGTCAGGTAATGCTTGAACAGGCTTTCTTGAATATATGTATTATTTAAAAAGTGAATAAATTGATCACAGGTTCTGGTTGTAATAACTTCATCATTGTATTCACTTAGTATTGTTTGTTTGGATCTTCCCATCGATGTGTTTAGGACTGCAACTGGTCAGTCTCTAATTGGCATATGTGCATACTGTGCGTATTGCCTCGATATACCTTATCCATCTCTGCTTCATCATTGTAGTTTCTCGTTTTTATTCAGCCTGATACAAGTGACCAAAAATAAGTGTTTATTGAATGAAATCGAATATATATGATCAGAAGATATAATAAAACAAGATGCTAAGTGAGAAACTAGTATAGAACAGAAACTTATCCATATACAAAGCCTATGTAAAGGGCGATTAGTACTGAAACTTGTGAAATACTTAGTACCTAATGTATACATATACATAGTCCCATGAATTGGAGGTAAATTAAATCGTTTTATGTTTACCGGACAGTTGGATCCTATCCTCAACCAAACTCTTCAATCCAAATTCAAACGATGCGTTAAATGCTATGGTATTCACCATGTGTGTGTAGACACTTGAATTATGCTTAAGTATTTGTAGGAAGAGGAGGACTCTAATAGTTCGTTACGTACAGATAATAAACAAACACTTTCATCTAATATAAGACAAATTAAGTACTAACTACACATAAATGGTCGGAAACTTGCTTTCATGCAAAACATGTTTGGTGAGTAGTTATATTTACTGTGTTCTTAACCACGTATCGATTGAGACTTTTCTTCAAGTAATCAAAAACACTTCTCAATTATTATGATAATATCAGTGTTAGTGTAAATAGTGATGTTCTTTCTTTAATAATCTTATTATCCCTGTACTCCTTTTGTTCTATCTTCCTAATGTTTACTTTAGATATCAATAATTTAACTAATCACTGTGTGAAAAATTTGTGAAAATGTTTTTCAGTAAGAAGAAGTTCATCACTTTGATAAACTTATTTGCGTCACACTTACTGTTGTTCCTATATATTTATGACATTGTTATACCTACATGTGTGATATGTCTCCTAATGTCTTTTGCCCACCAAGTGTTTTTATGTCAAAACCTGTCTATAAATGAAAAATGATTCAATACTAAGTAACCAAGCATTCATTTTGAAAGTAGTAAGTTGTTCATATCATAAAATAAATGACTCATTGCAGCGAAACATTTGATCTGACCGCCTCAATAGTTTAGTTAAATAAAACAAAAAGAAAGCCAGGACGAAGTTTAATTCAATCAACCGTTAGTCGGCTTTATCTTTCTCTATGACGAGAGAATATGAACCTTAACAGACAAAGAAACAAACACATCCATTAGCATGTATTACCATTTTTTATTGTGATTAAAATTATGGTTAATTTATATGGTTATAACTGCTAACTGAAGAGTTGGCCTACACAACAGGCAAAGAAAAGGAAGAATGTATAGAGAAAATGATGGACAGTTGACAATTTGAATAATGCCAGAATATATCATTATTATTATTTGAATAAAACAAATAAATAAATGAAATTATCTTTCCTTTCCATCAATGTGGTGGTATCTAGGAGTTAGCAGAAAATAAGAATAGGAGATAGATAAATATGTGCTTAACTATTTTTTTTTAAAAACTGTATAACCTTCATAGAATAATTTTCGATTATTTAACTGGTAATACAATACAGAAACATTTCTGTGTAATATAATAATCGGCTGGTGAGAAAATGGTAAGGTGAAGGTAATTGTAACACTTTTTCACCACTCGATTACTGTATAACTTCCTCTCAATATCTGATTTTCAAATCCTGACAACATACTACTTCGTTTTTTAAAGAAATATTTAAGAATAACGATCATAATTGTGAGTGATCAGTCGAATTTACTTGTCATTATATACTATATGTACACGTTAGATTTCGTGCCTAATTGAATGCACTTAGGCAGGAGTAAGAGGTAATCAACTCTATTGGTATCTGGGCTATAACTGCTGGTTTCGGTCACTGCTTAAGGCAAATGATTGAACACACACATACGTCCTGTTTCGGTTTAAAATACCAAGATACGTAGTTCAATTTTCACAATGTTACTGAAGTGGATTAATCAGTTAGGTTCTAAAATCGTTCTTATTGCAGTATATGAATCCAATAGTCATCCGAGGCTTAGGTGTCAGAGATCATCTGCAAATAAGATCTAGAGTTGAATTGATTTGTCTTATCCTAATAACTACTGGATTTTCCATAAAACGATAGATCATAACTACATAAACTCCAATAGACAAAACAACCATGTTAGCCAAGTCAGTATTTGCGTCTTGTATTTCACTAGGTAAATGAGTCACTGACCCAGTAATGAGAATTGGGCTTGATCAGTTTTGGTTATGCCCCATCACTTGTATCAATAGTCTGTCAAGCTGGTGGAATAATGTCTCTTATCACAGGAGCCATTAAGTTTACGAGCCTCTGTCTTCATGATCTGGTGTTACTCATATAGTTTTACATACCAGTTTCCTATAGCGACACGAAATACATAACCACGGTTACATTATTATTAGAGGACATAAAGGTTAGGTTATACAGAAATTATCACTATTTGGCACACAGATCCGAGTACTATAAATACGACTAACTTAATAACAAAGATACATTCTTTGATGTAATTGTGTGAATAATGTTTCCAATGTAAAACATCACAAGTCAATACATTGATCTGATAGAAATCAGAAAAAAAGCTATATTTTAATTAATTACTTCTCTCTTTAAATCATTGAAATGAATAATAATAATGAACATCATGTTGAACAGTTTATGTGTAGCTAGGATAACATGATTCGTTGTAACTTTTGCTGAAAAGATAGTCTAGCAGAGCGATTACTACAAGAGTAGTATTATAAAAATGGAAAATGATTACAAACTGTTAGAAATGCCATCTGATTATAACATATATTATAGTGACTAAATCGGTTGTTAACAGACGCTGGAATAAAGTGATAGGATTCCGAATTCTACTCAAGGAATCATTCCTTACATATCAGTCGAATGGATGTCTACTGCATGGAACTACGTAGTGTCTTCATCATATCCGACTGAACATCAAGACCTCGAATAGCCTGGTACGGCCGAGGGTGGAAGAGTTTACTCTCCTACTCGAAATGCTCTCACATGGTCACGCATATACAGTCACTGCCAGGGAAGTCCTACTCACTGCCTTCTCGCGGCCAAGGGTGCCGTTTGCGAACTTGAAAGAAAGAAAAGTGAATGTCTGGTGCTTGACCAGGTTGATGGACATGGAGGGTCAATCTAGGGGAGGCGAAAAGCCCTGATTCCAAACCAATGGTGCACATGGGCTCCAGTATCCTGAGGGAATAAATGGCGTACGAACCAATCGTTGGTCATCGGCTACCATCGGACTGCATCTTCTGACGCAGCTCTATTGCCTTGGGGGTTAGGCCATCAAGTCAAAGATTCTGTGTGTGGCCCTCTTAGAAAACCACCTACTTCAGTTTGTGCATCCGGGCAATATTACAGCCCTCACACAAATCAATGATAACTACTACTGGCCTCATCGCTATTGTGTGGAACATATGTATTTGATATCCCGTTTTATCAATGTTTATGTGTTCAAATAAATAAATAAATAAATAACAGATCAATGGAAGTGAATCTATAGCTTTAAAAAAAAATAAATTGTTAGCGTTTTGCCTAATTTATCTATTAGCAGGAGTAGTCCATACGTCTAACCAAAACTATCCTTTGCTAATTCACAGGAAGTATTATTAAATACTTGAATTATCTAGTTATCCTAAAATTTAAAAATCTTAAGTATTTTCGAATTCTGAACATCATCATTTTTTATTTGGTTTATTTAAAGCTTTATATAAATAAGCAAAAGTTTTTCATGAAAATATCTTACAGTTGATTTTCAAGTTGTTCAGATATCGCTGTTGTACTACTACTATGGTGACGTGAAAAATCTGATTTTTGTTGTCTATAATATTCAGCTGGAATGTGTAGATTCTCATTGTATCTTTTACTTCTCTGGTAATCTATTATGTCGGGGAAATTTTCTGAACTAGCAGCAACATTTGGTCTCCTTCTATGCCACTGAACAAGAACTGGAGGCCAAATGGAATTACTATCTGGATTGGCTGGTACTGTTTGACTTAAATTACGATGATAATATTTTGAAGGTATTAAACATCTTGTGTGATCTGAGGACGTGCTTAACTGATTTCCTTCTAATAAATTAGCTTGTGGATCGGCAGTACGTTGACTGTGTGAACGAATCATATTTGAACGATGTTTTTTGTGTTTAGAGCTGGTTGAATCATTTGATTTAACATCTGGTGGACCCCATCCTGAATCTAGAGGGAAGAATACTGATTGCGTCATACTACTGTTGTAACTTGGTGCAATTAAATCTGTCATACAGGAATTCTCAGAATTATATGAACGATTTCTTTGAGGATAGTACTGTACATGTGTAGAATCGCCGGACATACGAGTCGAGCTCGTATCTGTGACGAAATTAGGATTAGTATGAACAAGATTATCAGATTTATGTCTGTAATGTATAAAATATTCTGGTTTTTGTTCAGGAAATCCAGCTGGTAAACTAGATTGTGTCATCAAAAGTACATTACTATTCTTACTGGAAGGTGGAATTCTAGAGGTGAAATGTTCTTTATGTGTTCTTGTTGGAGATAAATGCATAACACCTGGTTGTATATTCGTAAATGTGGGTTGTGCACTGATTTGGCGCTGAGGGAAATCTCGACAAGATCGACGAATTCCGTTTCGTGAGTTATCTGAACAAAAATAGATCAAGTGGTGTAACATATAGTGATGTAATTATGAATTTACGTCATAAGAATATTATTAGAGTAACGGGGGTTAAAAACAGAAAGCTTTATGTGAAACTGACATTATGTTTGTCACCTATTGTGAAATTTTGCATCAAATAGCTTATTTTAATTAGCGAATCTTCAATATCTAGTTGTTCTCAATAGCTTCGGCACTAATAAACACTTGATTTCCTTATTTTGTTGTGTCGAATACTTAAAGAGTTGTGAGGCGTAATAATTGATAATGATATATTGAGGTTACAATAATTTGAATACAAAATAAATTTACTTATGCATCGGTGAGGTATGGACTTCTCATCCTTCAGATATAATGATTTGTAAACTAACAAATGGCTTCTATCATAAATATCAAATTTGAAAATGAGGGGAAGAGTTGAATTTCAATGATTCTAGACACTTTAGCTGGTTAAAATACATGAACTCCTAATTGTTATTAATTTTAATGGTTATCTATAGATGTGCTTAATTTTCATTTCTATGCAAAGCTGGTTATAAGAAGTATTAGAAACTAGGACTCACTGGACAGTATGGATTTTTATAACTCCTTCTTCGATTAATGAAATTTAGTATTCTTTCATATTTTATATTTATTCTTATTGAGTCAAAATCGACACTACTACTATTAATTAGACTATCATTCTATTGTTTTTATGTAGGAACTTGGCAGAACTAACATTCATGCTAGGAAATGGATTGCCTATAACTGAATGAATAAACAATGAATTATCAAAAGAACTCTGCAGTAGTATGTAGAATCGAAGAAGAATAAAATTTAACTTAATTTCATATTATAATCATATATCCATCTGATTATATAGATAACATTTCTTCACTTGTAGAATACAATGGTTTTCGAAAAATTTACTTACCCCAGTTAATTTCATTAAGAAGAAAAAGAAAAAAGAACTAATCTACTCAAATCTTAGTATTATTCTTACTACATTTTGTAAAGGTTTTTTGAACCATCTGTTTCTATTCACATAGTGTTGCTTCTTTGAATCTTCCCATTGATGTTAAGGACTGCAACTAGTCAGTCTCTTATTGGCATATGTGCATACTGTGGCTGTGAATTAAGACTATATCGAGGCAATACACACAGTATACACATATGTCAATTACAGACTGACCAGTTGTAGTCCTAAACATCAATTGGAAGATTTAAACAAACAAAACCAAGTGGATTTAAACTTCACCCCATTGCACAAGCAAGTGGTTATCGGGACTCAGTAGCTGAGTAGATAACACGATGAGGTTTGAAGCGGAAGGTACTGGGTTCGAGTCTCTGAGTGGACATGGACTCTGAGATGCAGGTACATCCGGTTGACGAGTCCCAAATAGGACGAAACGCGTGTCGTGAATTCCTCTGCTAGCCACTATCCGTCTTTGCTTACAACATCTGTTTGTTTGTATAAAAATAAGTAATAATAAGATGAAGTCTTAGAGCTTACATGTGTTCACCTACTTACTTATTATATACAATTGTTACAATATTCTAACGTATATATATCTATATGTACTACCACATCGAATGATCACAAAGAAACAAATACATTTTATTACTTGATTAATTATGGTTAATTGAAAGGAAAACTAATGAACATTCCTATTTCAATTAAGTAGATTGTATTGTTTTATTGTTGTTTCTTTTTTATTTTTAAAAATTGAACATTTTTACTAGTGTTATCATCCATATGTTGTTATGTTTTAATAATACTACTGAATTATTTAAATAAGTATTCTTACCGTACATGGAATAAAAATTTCATTTATGATTTTTTCAATTATTTTTTTAAAAACAACAACATGAATATTTACCTTAGTAGAAAAACAAATAAAAGTAACATTTCCTTCTTTTTTTCTTATTATGTAACATATGGAGATATTTACAATTTGGATGGATGTATCTATGCATATATGTATGTGTATATGTATAAGTTAAGTTAAGCTATCTAATTTACTTACTTTTGTATCAAAATTTATCAGAATACTCTGTTTATTAAAATAGAGAAAACAACTTTAATGCTGATTATGATCATATTCGATAAAAGTATGTTATAGTATTGTCAGAAGGGGTTTTGTGGAGATTTAATATTTTAATAGTTGACTCACCCTTTCAACTATGTTATAGTAGTATATTAAATTTAAAAGTTGTATAAGATGTCAAATTAATGCAAAACCATTAATGAAAACCATGGTCATTTGATCTTCTCAATAAACTATACCAATTATATAAAGATAAATTTACATCATGGTGATTATGATGATGATGATGATGTGAGAATCAATTTTATGAGTAAATAAAGCCATATAACATTTAACAAAAGTTTTATGACAAATTATAGTCTATTAAAACCGCGTAATCTAAACATAAGAATACATAAATTTTTTTTGGGGGGGGGGGTAGAGAGGAAGATATATAATTATATGAATCCGAAATGTAAAAATGATCAAACTTGTGATTTACTTCAAAATATATAAGAACATTCGTCTAAATTAGAGTGAATAGTTTCATAGTATTTGGGCACCAAGTTGATGTAAGACATTGAATAGGAATAATATATTAGTAAAATTTGAGCGAATGAATTTGAAGTAAATCCCACGTTTCGCCTAGCAATCTGGTTTAAGCTTTTTCAAGGATTTACTTCAAATTCATTCGCTGAGATTTTACAAATATATTCTTCTAACCTCAGAATAGTTTATATGAAATGACACAAAAAACTGGTACATAGTTAAGCTTCATCTAATGTTTACAACCATGAAACTGTTTCCTGTATATGTTAGGTTCATTTGCTTCAGTTAGAGCTTGTTTTCAACATGTTTATAAAAACAGATTCTAGTTTGTATGTACAATAGTGAGAGAAAAGAGGTTAAGCATTTAGTCTTCAAATATTCATTTGATTTTGACAACTCAGCTAACCCACATATCGATTTGAAGTTTATTCATCAAATTTTTTCTAAACAAATCAATATTTCTTTGTTTTCAACTTGTTGAAAAATCATAATCTTTGGCCATACATTTTGTGAAGCTTAAATTCCATATAAGAAAGAAATATCTCTTGTGTTTGAATTTGTTTTGTTATCATTATTAACAGAAAGGTATTTGTGGACATTTTAGTAATTTTATATAGTTGAAATCGTGAGTCAATTGAAGCTAGACCTGGAAGCACTGGACGGTCGTTTTGTCCTATTGTGGGACTCCTCAGCAGTACACATCCACGGTCCCGTCTAGCGAGATTCCAATCCAGGACGTATCAGTCTCACGAGCGAGCGCTTAACCACTAGACCACTGAGCCGGCATCCAACGGTGTTAGTGTCTAACTTCAACCAATCCATGAAATTGAGCAACCACTCACCAATGTCTTCAGTGACTTGATATTTCGTGGATGTCCATTGCTGAGGAGTCCCACAATAGGACGAGACGGTCGTCCAGTGCTTCCAGATTTTCCATGGTGGTCTAGCTTCAATTGACTCATGATTTCAACTATATATAATGTTACCATTATTGTTTATTATGTTTTCAGTTCATACACTTAAGCAACTGAAAATGCCTATTTTCCTTAAATTATACTTCAGATCCTTTGTTTTTCGTTCTTATTTATTCTCTATGCTATTTCCTTTAATTAACGTATTGCTTTCCCATTTCAATAGTCAAAACGAGACAATTATTTTAGCTAGCCTACTCCATTCATATTTTAATCTATTTTTAGTTCAGTAGTTTCCGGATCTTTTTTATACACTCACATCCTGTAGAAGTTACGTAAATCTGTATAGTTAACACAGGCACCAAATGGCCTAATATTTTACTCTTTATTATTATTACGTAGTGGAATGGTTGAAGGAAGATATTAACGCCGTTGGTTACCGACTCAATGATCTAGAGGTGAAGCGTTCGTGAGAGACCAGAGGCTTAGGGTTTGAATCTTTCAAGTAGTATCGCGGATGCACACTTCTAAGGAGTCCCATCCTGGAACGAAACGGTCGTCCAGTGCTTCCAGGTTTTCAATTGTGAAGCAACATTGGTCTGTTCATGATTTCAATGAAATTCAACAATCTCGACAAACTCAAACTCAAGATAACTGGATTATACTAAAAAGAGGTATTTAACCAAAGTATATGCTTAGATGAAAATAATATTAAAATAAATTTACTTGAATTGATCAATTCAATCCTTTGTTGAGTTTTCAACCAAGCTACATCAATTTGTTGATTTGATTGTATTTCTGGATGACTATTTATTAGCAACTCTCGGTTATGATGATTTAAAAGTGTTGGATCTTTTACTGAATAAATAAATGGTACAAATTCATCTTGTTCTTCATTCTGTAATAACACAGATTGATTTAAATCATGATTATTCGTAATATTATAATGTTTTCGAATAGTACGTTCATTTTTCAAATCTTCAGGTGAAATAAGGCGTTTAATCGATGGCTGATCAGGGTGTGTAGATTTTATCAATATGAAATCTGATAAAAAATTTGGTCTAGTTACAGTGACATTTGACTTTTGATCATTTTGCAATCTGTTTGATTCATGAAATTTTACTGATTGTTTTTTAATTAAAACAGGGTTTGTTGAGTCAAGATTAAGTGGATCTAGTTTTTCTAAAGGATAAGTAGAAATATGTTGGTTTGAAAATGCCCAGTTGACATTTCTTTTATCAGGGAATGAAGTAGAAGAAGTTATTGTTGGAGCGTGAGAAATAATGCACGTTGATTTAATTATTTCCGTTTCATTTGCTTGAAGTGTTTTTTGTGATGAAGTGGCTGAAAGTAAGACGGTGGTGTCTTCTTGATTCGAATCCCATGGAACAACAGATCTTCCATCAAGAGGACAATTTGTTGAATCTTTGTTTCTTTCATCTAGATCACTAGCTGAAACTGGTTGTGCCTTAGATTCTGTCATCTCAGAGGAATTATTTGTTAATATTTTGGTTTCATTGCCAATTTTCGTTGCGGAAGAATCTGTTAATTTATCTGATTGACAAATTGAACTCTGTTTATTTGGAATGTAAGCTGTGGCAGAATTTTGACATGATGTTCTCAAAGGTGTTTGTACTGATAATGTGTTACCAGTGTCAGGAAAGTTTTGATGAGATTGGCTTTCCGATTTCTCCGAAACACTATTGTTCTTTGCCTTTTCAGATACAGTCTACAAGATTAAAAATTAATTAGTAAAGCTGAATAAATTGAAAATAATAAATAGGCAGGTCAATCAGTATACAGATGTTTTAAAAAATCAGTTCAATATTAATTAATGAAAGGAGTCTGTCAATCGGCATTGAAAAGTTTTATTTATTTCAGTTATCTAGAGGATAGATGATGGTAGTGGAACACTCACGGTTTTAAAATTTGGATTTGTTTTATACAATTTAGAGCAATTAGTCCCTTTGATAAATTTCGATAGTGTAATAAGAAGACGAAGATTATCAGAACCATGTGATATATTAACACAATACATTTCGAACAATCTGATCACACATATACTTGTTAAGAACATTTATATATAAAAGTAAAAAGTAAACTAGACTGGAAATGGGGAGTAAGAGTAGACAAGGATAATAATAATAATAATAATAATAATAATAATAATAATAATATCGTGAATGCAATTTGAAACCTAATCACTCTGGATAATAAGCTAATGTTACTAGGGTAGGTTTAAGGTGAGAACAAACTGTTTTTGAATATACAAAGGGGGTTTGAATTTTCGTATGTCTAAAGGTTCAATAAACCTTAGTATACGCCCTTTTACACTTTTATACAACACCACAAAAGCCGAGTTAAGATCAATCTTATGGCCTGTTTCGATTGTGTTTGGCAATAGAGGATGATGGATGTTTTATACAGTTATTTTGTAAAAAAAAGTGACACTTGAAATCATTTTCCTTGTCATAATTAGAATTATTTTGATCAACGGATGACAGGATGTCACTATTATAAAAGAAACTTAACAGTGAAAAAATATTTTATGTTAAGTATTGTAAGCAAAGATGGATAGTGACTAGAAGTGGAATCCACGGCACGCGTTTCGTCTAATTTGGAACTCGTCATCTGGATGTACCTGCATATCAGAGTTCATGTTCACTCTGAGACTCGAACCCAGTACCTTTCGCTTCAAACGCCATCGTGTTATTCACTCAACTACTGAGTCGTGATAGCCATTTGTTTGTGCAATGAGGTGAAGTTTAAATTCATTTTGTTTTATTTGCTTAAATCTCCCCATTGATGTTTAGGACTACAACTGGTCAGTCTGTAATTGGTATATGTGCATACTGTGTGTATTGCTTCGATATAGCCTTATTTCACAAGCATTGTAAGCAAAGATGAATTGTTGTTCCGGTTTTTTAACATTTGTGTTAGGTTTTTTAAAAGTTTAAAGTGTTATTTGCGTAATACTAATAGTAATAATAACAATGAAATCTATCCTGAAATAAAGAACTGTCTGAATTGATTTTGTTTAATGAGTATGATGTTAAGGTTTCATTCTGTAAATCCTATGCTTTCTATCTTAGGTGAACATTCCTTGTTAATTTTTTACATGGCTGACTAAATCATATTACTTTCTAATTAGCAGCGATATGGTTTATAGGATGAATTATCCTGAATAAATCAACTATTGATTTAATCGTTTACAGCTTCAATAATAAATTAAATACATTAGATTGTTTTTTTATTATTTACTCTCCTTGATTCCATTAGTCTATTTTGATTCTCTTATATGTATGTTCGTATGTGTATAGGATTAATTATTCCTAATGAAATGAATTACTGTCGTGGAAAATAAACTAACTGATGATAGTTTGTTGTTTGTTGACAAGTACTTGAATTTGGGGTAAAGTAACTACAGTGATGATAGATTTATATTTATTAGTGGGATATTGATTTATTGTGTTACTATTATTTTTATTCGTCTATCATGTATGGGTGTTTATATGTGAATGAGCAAATTAATATGTATGATTGATTGTATTTCAATGTTTCTGATTCCTCTAGTTCTTGGGAGGTAATTTATCAGTAAAAAAAATGAATCATCGCCTATTTGTTGATTATACACATGCTAATGAGTTGATCGATTATATAGTACAGTAGTTTAATTATTGAATACTAAAGAAACTAGTGTTTTAACGATGAAATTCAATGTTTAGGCTAATTAATAAAGCACTAGCCCATATCCATTACGATGATGGTTTTTCTTAAAATTAATTTGTTCAGTTCTATGAGATAAGGAGTATAGTTATCAACACACGATGAAGGGAAGATTTTTTTGTCTGTCTGATCCATTGTGAGAAAGAATAATGTTTCAAGAATACATTTCAATTATGAGGTAGACTAATATAATAATTCGTAACCCTTCATCGTGTTTTTAGATACAATTAATCATTTAAAACTATCTGTTTAAGCCATATTATGAAAAAAGCAACTGTAGAGTGTATCTTTAATCATACATTTTAGTCATTTAACGCATTTACCCACCCATCTTTATTTCAGTTTCGTTAACTGTAGAAGTAAATAATGATTGCAGGAAATAGTAAAAGGACTTTATTCACAGAAACTGGCTCTGAAGTTCATTGGGTTAACTATTTTACAGGTAACCTTCAGTGAGGCCTCTATACAATAAATTGTTTGACTCTACAATATGTAACTAGATGTGGAAACATTGGAGCAACTCAAATGTATAATAATAGAATAATTGCTGAAAAATAAACTCTAGTTAGTTATTGTACTTTATTTTCTGAAATAATAATTCCAAAACAGTAAAGGCTCACAGTTCTTACATTTACGATCAATTTTTCTTTGAACCTAAAGGTTAGTTTAAAGTGATTAAGAGGCAATATTTGAACTGGTTCAAGATGGATTAATATTCATACTTCAAGATGTTCAACTGCCAATAATTGGTTAGCTATTTAGACTAAGTAATTTGAATTAATCACATTTAATCACTACTAACTAGGAAATCGAAACTGTTTAGCTAAAATCAGGCTAAATGAATCATAGGTGAAACTTCCAGTGTAGATATCACAATTTAGACCGAAATTACAGTAGCTTATTTATGACTGTAATTTACTCTAAAATATTATAATGAAGTAAATGCCTTTCAATGAGATTAGAAACGAAACTCAGTGCAAAATGTAACGTAAAGAACACAACACAAAAGATACAATGATTTGACCATTTTAATTTTGTGTCTCCTACAAACTATATATTTCTATTGAGTGTTAGTGAAGTACTGATTTGTAACAGAACATGCTATGAAACGAATAGTAATTTTTTAACTAAAACTGATTAGAAAAAATGCAATAGCTTTCAGATTATTCATGTACTACCTGTATTTCGGTGTCATCAAAGTAGTAGAGTTGCGCTTATCGTCAAAATAATTAAATTTATTATCAGAACTTGATGGTAGAAAATCACCAAGCTAACAATTAAACAACTGGTAAATTGTTCTTTATTATTTAAGCGAAGTTGGATAGTGGATAGTAATGGAATCCGGAACATGTTTTTGTCCTGATTTTAGCTTGTCAGATGGATATATTTTCATTTTCGTATTGAGGTTCATTCCGGGATTCAAACTTATTGCTTTTCACTTTAAGCACCACTCCGCCTGTAGCTCTTCTAGAGGTACTGCCGGTTCCAAGCCCGGATAAAGGAGGAGGGTTGGGCATGGGGTTAGCGACCCCGTACCGTCGAAAAAGTAACTCGCTAAAAAACGCTAACCAGAAAAAGTAATTCAAACCATTTAAACTCTGCCCTGGAAGTTGAAGGAATAAGCAGATATGGATGAATAACAACAGGAAAGGATTGCCCATGATGAGTCTGATGGAGAATGCTGGTGGGCGGCCTATGCTCCTCCACGAGGGGTAACAGGCGTAAGTAAGTAAGTACCATTGAGTTATCTACTTATTTACTTGGTCCGGAAAGTCAGTGTCATGTGCAATGAAGAAGGGTTATTCATTTGTAAATGTGTAAATCATTTTGTAGAGAATAGCAGCATTGAGATTCAGGTAGATCTAGGTAACGAGTCTTAAATGAGACGAAAAGCGTATTCTGGATTCTATTGATAGCTACAATTCAACGGTGATTAAAAATCAAGTCATTTTGCTCAGGATGTACATATTCCTAAACAGATTGATTAGTTGCAGCTCTCAAAACAAAATTTAAACCCTTAGTTGTAAATGATTCTATTGATTGCAGATAATTGAAAATGTGTTAAAACATTCGTTAACCTTTTTTTCAAATCTCGCTTTAGTGAATATTGATATTAAGTTACATTACACATAAATGTATTATGCAATCGATTTTTATTTTTAATAGTTTCTATAGAAAACAGGATATACATATGTATGGATACTTCTTGACATAAAAGTGATTCATTTATTGTCTTTTATCGATCTATTTTGTAGCATATTTTTGTCAATGGACAATGCTAAGAATAGATTTATTAAAATTGTCATTAAACTGACAGTCGTTTTTTTAACTTAAGAAAGTGAAACAGGGAAAAAACAGAAAATAAACCATTTACAAAATTTGGAATTCACATACTTTCGGTAAATCAGTCAGTTCTATTTTATATTGTAATGAAGTAGCTGGATGTCTTGGAGGAACTGATGGTGGGTGGGGTGGGGAAGACGGTGGAGGTAAAGGTGGTGTTGGTGGAGATGAGGATAATTTTAAATTTGTTATTGAAGAAACCGATGTACTAATTTGTGCTGAACAGTTTAATTCAGAAATTGAAGATACGTTTAAATTAGTAATGATATTAGAGGATTTATCAGAAATTTTGTCCAAAACTAATGAACGAACTTCATCTGGACGACAATGTTCATGATAGTGCGGTGCTTTCAGATCAATATTTGTAGAATTCATTATCGAATCTCGAAGTGGTGTTGGAGGTGGGGGTGGGAACCAAGTATTTGTATCTGTTGGTGATTGAGGTTGGGTAGTGATATTTACAATTTTCTTGGATGGGGACAGATAAGAATTAGTCGATTCTGAGGTTAGATGACTCTATAATCAAGTAAAAATGCACAATTATAATTAAATATCTTAATAACGGTGTTTTAACTTAGATTACTAATTTATCGTAATTAAACAGTATTAATCGCTACTCTTATAGATCAGCTAACTCTGTGACTAAGAATTGAAATGCTTTTCTCCATGTTAAAATATATGGAATGAAACTATGCATTTTTCACACTAATTCAAATAGATTAAGGACTATATATAGTAAACAAAGGTTGCTGCGATAATTAAACAGGCTTATATCTTGTAGGGAAGTAGATAATTCTTTACATCTAAAGTTGTTGGAAAATGCATACTGTTATAGAAGCTATTATAAGTTGATGAATCACATTAAATAGTTTATTTATTTGTTATATACAGATTCGTTTTCTGTTTCGTTGCTTTATTGTATTTTCTACGGTCCTATAGGTATAAGTTAATATTAATCTACCTATTACTGTTATCATCAGTTCATAATCATTAGATTAGTAATAATATAGTCAGAAAGTAAAATATGAGAATTATTATCTCAATTCTATTAAATTTCTTGACAGTTTATAAAGTGTATTCTTTCTTTTTTATTTTGCTGATTCTGTTAAACTAGACTTTCATATATCATTATAAATGTTGATTTGATTATTGAAAGTTATAATTCTCATCAAAATCATTATGATATTTAGTAATTTATTCTGGTGGTCTATTGAGAATGGTTAAATTTTTCAGTTCCCATGAGACAGTGATTTTTTTTAACTTTTATCCCACATATACAGATATATATGTTTTCAACATTTTTGTGATTAAGATTTTGCTATTATTAATCATTTTGACTTGTATGCTTCATATCTAAGGTTAACTGGATGGAATATATTTTCAACATTGAAGTTGCAAGTACATTTACATTAGTTTAAACCATGTATTGAATTTGCCTAGATCATCAATGAAAACTTGAAAGCACTGAACAGCCGTTTCATCTTAGAACAGGACATCTCAATAGTGCGCATCATTGACTCATCCATTTCAGACAATGGATGAGCGTTACTTAATACTGTAGAATTGATTAATGTTATATAAGTACACTATTGAATACCGTCTAGACGGTCTAGACGTTAAGGGTTCCTGAGAAAGGTCGAAGATCATAGATTCGATTTCTGTCAGCATCGTAGATAAGCATTGCTGGAGACACGTACAAGGTGAAATGTCCTTCAAGAGATTTCAGGTTTTCAATACTGCTTTAGCTAAGATAAGGCTAAGATTCAAACTATGAAAACTCCATAATCTTCACAAATCCTCGTAAATTAATATTTAAAATAACTAGTCGTGTAGAATGTAAATGTACATTTCGAAATGAACTAAAATATTTAGAGTAGCCCAAATTCTTCATTCAGTCATTCATCAAAAGTAGCTGCAATAAATACTTATTGAAAACTAAAGAGGGAAGTGAGCATGTGTTTATATAATATGAGTTTGAAACTCATCATTAATAAGTTTTCTTCATCTTTAAATGACTGTTTAATGAAAGATGAAAGAGCGTTTGCTAAAAATAGGTTCCCGTAATTCATGCAAGTTAAAAAAAAGATTTACAAATATCTTTCCTTGATTAAATGTAATATTTATTGGTAAATGATGAACTAAGGTTTACTTTCGGCTAAGAATTTTAAGCAAGAGATACTTACAAATCTTAAGGGAACTGATGTTCATCATTAGATTTGAATCAGTATCTCACAGTGTCAGTCAGAAATGTTGCCAATGAGCTATTCAATCTGAGGCATCCACTAACTACATTTTACTAACCACTTAATTATTGAACATGTATGAGAATCTTTATGAAAGTGAATTGTTTGAAGATCTTATTATTGTCGTAAGATAAATATTTAAAGAAACGTTATTCATCATTAAGTCAGTTGAGGTAAATGATGCGCGAAAAAAATTTACGCTTTGGTTTGAGATAAGCAAAGTATTGAAACAGTGTTCTTCACTTCATTAATTGATCTAACGACTAAACATAATTACTATACAGGTCATTAATACTGATTGGAGTAAGTTTCGTATGATTGTAACTAATATTAAAGACTACTTATATTTTGGGTGACCCTACTGACATTCAAAGTAGTTAACCTAGCTAAATGAAATACATTGGTTAACAGAAGATCATATTGTTAGATGTGCCAAATAGCTTAATTATGTTAGATAGTCTTTTCAAGTACAAGATGAATGTAAATAAAATTCTACTTAATTGCATTTTTCTTTCATATTGTATCGTTGGGGTCATGAGCAATCAAAATTTAATCTACGAATAATTACATCAAACTATTATTATATCAGACCAGAAATATTTTGAATACTATTAGTTCATATAAAATTGTGGTGAGACTACAATTTGTGGACGACCTTTAAGGGACGTCAAAGTGGACTTGAGAATGTTCACCTACTTACTAGTGCTAAATAAGAGTTAAAAACCTGTGTGTAGAGAAAGGATTATAATTTAAAGTTGATGGTTAGGGTTAGGAACTAGATTTAAAGATTTCATAACGAACTGACATCAGCTAAAATCCTAAAACACTCTTTAGCCAAATGGATGGATGAATTTCGCTTTAAAATCCAAGACTTGTTATCCTAAATCTGATTAGTTCATCCATAAATTATAGTCTCGCCACCAAAGTAATATTTATTTTAACTCACTTTACTATTACTATCACAAGTGGAAAGTGAATCTTGTAGAAGATTAGTTGATGTAACTGTCATTATGTCGAAATTTGTTTGAGTACTTTGAGTTGAAACTCTGTGTGTCATAATGTCTTTGGCATTATTGTTCACGTGATTATTTGCATTGGAGGAATTATCAATAAAAGTTGGTGTTGTTGTAACGCTATTAACAGTACACGTAGTAACTAATGATTGTGGAGAGATTTCTTTTGTTAAATGATTATCATGTTCCATTAATAAATATTTATCAATTAAATTTTCATAAATGACAGATTTATTTGATTTACTGAGATTGGATGGAGAGATTTCATGAACTGCCGCACCATCTGGTGGACATCTTGGTGACATGCATATATGTGGTCGAGAATTTTGTAAGAAATGAGATTTATTGTAATTCTGTTCACTGATTGATGCATTCATAAGATCCAATTTTTGCTTGATTCTACACTCTTTAGATTCATCACGTAACTGTATTTTGATTGGTTGAGAAGTGATTAGTGTATCCTGTTTCACTGAAAGTTATAAAGAGAATAACGTTTTACTAAGTTGTGGAAGATTGAAAGTCTTACTAATCTTTTCATCTTAAACCTGTCTGAGTTTATTTATCATTGCACATAATGAAGTTTTTCCACTTATCATTTAAGTATACAGTTGAGTGGAAAATATTAGTCATTAAGTTATAGCCGCTGTAGAGCCTGACACAAATATGTATTAGCCAGGCTCCCAACATCATATAACCACCCAGATATAAACATTCATTTCTTTTCCATAGTTGCTTATTAGAGTAAAATAACTACTAAAATTTATTTTGAAGACTTATTGTACAAAAATTACATATATCGTATTTCACCAGATAATAGCACCGTGCCTTGCAGCACTCTTTTTGAGTGAAAGAAGCACGTTTAAGCTTATGAAGTGACTGTATGACGTCGTTTCTCTCACAAGTGAAATTACATGGAATACGAACTTGTTGAACAAGGAGTTTCATGACGCTCATATATCTCGGATGCATGCTTTCAGCTTATCTCTCTAGAAAAATCTATATGAATATTGTAAAATAAATGCCCGAATATATAAATTCATGTTGAATAATACTTGAATAATTACCAATTATATATAATTGAAATAATGAGTCAATTGAAGCTAGACCACCATGGGAAACCTGGAAGCACTGGACGGCCGTTTCGTCCTATTGTGTGACTCCTCAGCAGTGCGCATCCACGATCCCGGCTCGCGAGATTCGAAACCAGGATCTATCTGATAATTACTAATTAATTAAGGAAAATCCTATTTTTAAGTATTTTATTACTTCTACTGACTTACTTGTGCATTTTTTATCTTGTAAAGATGAAGAATTGTAATTTGTCAAATTATCGCTGGTATTACTATGACTGATAATTGATTCCTTTACAGGTAAAGTTGATGCTGATGTTATCTTTGTATCAATATTATTTAGTATATTTTGCTTGTCAGAAGGATAAGTTGATAAAGAAGCATTGAAGAGATCAGCTTTTATCCTGTGTGAAATGGATAAAACAAAACAAAAAATAAATATAGGCATAAATATGAAAAATCTATGAATAAACTTGGCTTAAATTAGTAGTTTTCTGAACAACTGGCTACTGTTGAAAATACTTGTTTTCTGGAGGCTATCAATGTATTTTTCTTTCACTTCTATACATGTCTTTTATGTGATAATCTGGAGTATATATATATATATATATATATATATATATATATATATATATATATACTCCAGATTCAGTAGTTCAATTTTTAGAGATTCATTTATATATATTTAAAACACTTTAATCTTCGTGTAAGGACGGCCCGTCGGTAGACTCTAGGAAGCCTTAAGAAGCCCAGGAAGAGCCACAGACATCCCATTCCAAATCAGTTTCCACTTTTCACTAATTTAGTAAACAAAAGAAACAGGTTGACATAGATTCCTCTCAAAAAAATCATCTGCGGAATTCCTGTTTACTTTTTATATATTTTCATTTATTGAATTAATTTTTCAATTCTGTACAAGCATCAACTGATGGTTAATTAAAACGTTGATAAACTGAGATGTTAACCGAAAAACTCAATATTACTTCAGAAAATTACCATTTATTTTGATAGAATCCCATGTGGAAATTTTTAGAAAAAAACATTTAATGGTGTTATTTTAGCTTATTCAATGATAAGACTGACTTAGATGTCGTAGAAAATAAAACTATGATGATAATAAATATTTGGCGTCACCAAGGCGTTTCAAACTTCCTTGATTTACTGAGAGACTTGGATATTCTAGGTTTAATCCATTTAGAGATTGCGTCTGTGATCAGTCATTCCTTCATGATTTTTGGTGACTGTCTAGCTAGGATCGACCTGTGATCTATCTGTAAAAGAATGCTCTTTTTGAACTGATTTATTTATCGAATTTGATGTTAAAAGTAACGGAATGAATATTGCTGAACTTATGTTTGCATGTTTCTTCATAATTGTTACTGCTCAATAAGAAGTAAACACTGTTTTAGGAAGAGTGACATTTCATACTTGATTTAATTTTTGCTTCATTTGAAGTAATCAGAGACTGAGAATACAGAACTCGATATACTGCTAATTTCGAACTATACATAAGATGTACCATGTTCATCTTTTTGACTAATGTCGAAAATTGTAAAAATTAAGAGTTAAGATTCTTTACTAAATGGAGATAATTATCCATGTTAAGTAAGCAACTTGATATCTACTGTATATAAATAATAAATAGATAGACTATATGAATTCAGTTAATATTTGGTCATTATTTGCTGTATATTTATTCTTCGTTACAACGGTTAAACAGAAAACGGAATAAATCAACTTACCCTGAGTTGTCTATATTTCAAAAATGAGAAAGTGTTTAAATTTCACATCAGAAGCTTATTTTTTGTATCTATCATAGTTTAGACATTCAAATTAACAGAAAGACAAGCAACAATCTAGCAAATGAGATCATGAAAACAGGCAGAGGAATACTTAAACAAGATTAAAATTGAATAATCGATCTTTATTACTTTTCTTTCTCATATTATTAGGATTATCATTGAGCTTGTTGTTAGACAAAAAAAGGAGTGGATTGCTTTTTTTTGTTTGAATGATGTATAAAACTAGATAGTGACTGATTAGTGAATATTTTGTAATTTGAGTAACAAATTCCCGATTCGATTTTTATTTGGCTTATTACTAGACAGAAATATGTATTTTGAAGAGATTTTTCTATAAGCATGTCTCTATATGATTTAAACCTAATTTTTCTTCCCAATCAGTCAATCAGTCTTAAATCGGTCGCATTAGTAAATATGTCTCAAAACATAAAATTTTACGGAATATTTTAGGGAATATTGAACCATATATATATATATATATATATATATATATATATATATATATATATATATATATATATATATAAATTAGAACTGTAATTTATCTCCTGATTAATATGACAACTTAGAATAAATTAACTTTGAAAAAGTTTCTTATTTTCTTGATAATAAATTAGTTTGATTAAACAAATAAACCCTTTCCATTTTAATTTTCTAACTGTACGTTTGTATAAACTTCGTTCATAGGAGATAAGAATTCATGCATTTGAGATGAGTAATGCCTACTGATTATAGAGATATATAGGTATAGATATAGGTATAAGTCACATCTAAACTAATAAATATTTTAATGATATTCCATATTCCTTTTGTATAAGAAGATTTGCATTTATGATATAGGGAAGTATATAGATATATATGATATTTAAATAATTTATTAGTGATACAAATAAGAATAATATAGTTAAGATAGATAGTTTTACAGTTTTATTCAAGTAATAAATAAATAAGCAATTCAATAAAATTATGAATGTTATTTACTTGAAATTGGTCATTTTAAATATTGGAAGAAATCACTTCAAAGACTCAAATAGTTAGCCTTAATCTACTGCTGATCAAATAACATTTGAGGAAAGCTTACATAGTATTTCGATACTATTGCTTTTACTTAAAGTCAGTCAGCTACAAGGTAGGACCAGGCACATATATGCATCGGTCCAAGTTGCCATACCTCATTAGCACAACAAGATGAACACCTAATTCATAGAAGTAGTTAATTTAGTGGTGGTAATATATAAAAGAAAGGTTCTATATAAGGACATAGTATAGGAAGAAAGAAAGATATGAAGGAATTTTAATCTCAAGGATTAAGGGAAGATAAAGAGTGTATACACCTACACCATCTTGAGTCATGTCACCTATAGTCTCCAACCATTGGTTACGATAGTCACTCAGACCCCAACCAAGTAGTCTGCATCTACCAACATAAATCAGACTAGAGGTTAGTGACTTCAAGCACTGATGCCGTGTTTTGGTTTGGCCGTCCCTAACTTTCTTCCAACCATCTCCTATACTAGTCAGCATTGTGCGTCGTGGTAATCGGTGGTTGGGCATGCGTAATAGTGACCCAACCATCTCAGTTGATGAAGATTCACGACCTCATCAACTGATTTACCATCATTCCCTAATATCCTACATCTAACGTCACTATTACTTACCCGGTGATCCCAGCAGTTGCGAACAATATTTTTAAGGCATCTGTGGTCAAATACTAGTAACTTACGAGTGCCCCCCAAATGCCCTGGTAGGGTCGAGAGGGAGGAAAAGTCCGCTCTCCCTCTCGCAATGCTCTCATATGGCCACGCGTATATAGTCTCTACTTGGGAAGTCCTACTCACTGCCTTCTCGTGGCCGGGGTGCTGTTTACAAAATGAAGAGGATGAAAAGCGAATATCCGGCGCTTAAACCGGGTTGATGGACACAGAGCATCCATCTAAGGGAGTTGGAAAACCCTGATTACAAACCATTTTAGAATGTGTAGCAAGAGTACGTGTGTTCCGGTAATACGTTGTTGTGAATAGACTTATCTGAGTGGAAACTTTCTATAGGGATCATTTATAACACACTGTTTCAAATAATTCATTAATATAAATAAGTGGCTATCTAATTAGCCTACATGCATGCGTTTTATGAATTAACAGTACCATTAAATTCCATGGAGTTAATGAATTTCAAGTGAATGTTGAAATAATTTACTACTCTGAGAGTATGACGTTCAAATATATGAATAATCTTTAAAATCAAAAATATCTGAACATAAAAATACCCTACATAAATTATTTTACATGTGTAAATAATTAAAATTCTTTTATATGTACGCTCCCTAATGAACTAACAGGATTTTCCTACAGCTGTCAAGCCATTATAATAATCTTCTCTATTGTTCTATAAAGGGCAAATACTTTTATATTCATACACAAACAAACACTGAAGACAATGGTGAAAGGTGGCGCAATTTTGTCGATTGGTTGAAGTTAGACACTAACATCGTTGGATGCCGGCTCACTGGTCTAGAGGCTAAGCATTCGCGTGTGGGATTCAAGATCCTGGTTTTGAACCCCGTGGGTGGGATCGTGAATGTGCACTGCTGAAGGGATCACATTTTACTGTGGAATGGCCGTCCAGTGCTTCCAGATTTTCCATGGTGGTCTAGCTTTAATTGACTCATGAATTCAAATATCTAATTTTTTTATTCAATGTGTTCGTTATTAATCGTATAATAACGTACTACCCAATAAAACTTAAAATAATATTTCATTTTCCAACTAACCATTTAAAAAGACTAATAAATTCATTCCAAGAAAAGACTAATTAACTTGTATAGTCAATGAAATTTTTAATATTCGGAATAATTTTGTTAGGTCCCCAAAATATACAAATGATGTAAATCTATTTAGATATTTCTATGAACAGCAAAATTAATTATAAATGAAGCGAGAAAGAAAAAAGAATGAACATAATGACGGGAACTCAGTTTCAATATATGAATAAATATATTTGCTAATATGTTATATGAAGAGATTTGATTAGTTTGAAGATAATCCTCTTTCACATAAACTGAGATCAACTAAAAATTGAAGGAAAGTATTTCTTTCTGTTATGGTTGAAGATCACATTATCTTAAAAGCCAACTGAAATAAAAAAGGAAAACTAATTAGTGCACTTTAGTGAAATGGTTGATAAGTATCGTGTTCATTGTGAGATGTGAAAATCCTGAATTGTATTGTGATAATTACTAACACCAAACTAATGGGAAATAAATACTTAATATTCATGGATTTTTTTAACCTTCTCTAACTAGTGTCAGTTTCCTGTAAAATCACATTATGCTAAACATTGATTTTCGTTTAAGAAAGATAATGATAGTTGAAATCATGAGCCAATTGAAGCTAGACCACCATGGAAAACTTGGAAGCACTGGACGGCCGTTTCGTCCTATTGTGGGACTCCTCAGCAGTGCGTATCCACGATCCCGCACTCGCGAGATTCAAACTCAGGACCTACCAGTCTAACGTCAGAGCACTTAACCGATAGACCACTGAGCCGGCATCCGATGGTGTTAATTCCTAACTTCAACCAATCCACGATTTTGAGCAACCGTT